CTAAAAAGTTGCTTTTCGTAGGTACACAGTCAAATAAACTTATAGTTAACTACCTAAAGACCGTTTCCCATAGAAAGAATAGGAAGTGGTCTTTAGATAGTTACTATAATTTTATTTGACTTGTACCTATGAAAAATATTTTTAGTAATATCACATACATTTTATATAGATATTATTTATTTAATATAATAAAAAGTTAATAAAGATTCTATAGCAAAAAACACTAAAGTTACAATCGTAATCAATCAGGCCCATAATTGATATTTAGTGGGCTCATTTTTTTGCGTGGAGACTCATTTTCAATGTCGGCTAATGTTTTAGAGATTACACATGATATATTTTCTATATATATAGATCTTGCATACATTTTATAAGGAGGCTGCCGCAACACTTCTAAAGGGAGAATGAGATTTCATTGTTCACGGTAGTCGAAATTTTAAATCTTATTCATGGCGAAAAATTGCATAGTCATATCATATTTCTTTTGATCTAGTTTTATATAAGAATAGATCTCGTACGAAATACAACACTTGTTTCATTCGGTTGCCACAAAGAGATGATATAGTTCCATGTAATCTCATAAGGTTTGTCGATCCCATCCCAATTTTGGTTTTGTTTCATTACCTAGAGTTTCGTTACAACATTGAATCCGATTTGATAAATAATTAGTATGCGTAGGTTTTTAGAGTACAAATGAATGTCTAGTTTATGAATAAAATATTGTAGTATGAAACATTTCATGAACATTTTGTCAAAATTTTACTATTTGTGATGAATGGAATGAACATTCCACCTCAAAATGAACAAAATTTTAAATGAAAATATTTTTCTGTAATTTTGATGAAAAATGAACGGGGTAGATTTATTTCCATTATATTGTTTATTACATTCATCTACATTCCATTCATAAATATTCTACCAACTTGTTTTTTATGTTCACAATTAAGAGCTTTAGCATATTAAACTTATCCAATATTTTTTTTTGGTCAAAAGACAAAAGACGTTTCTATTCGAGTTTATGTAGACATGTTGGTCGTGTTGAGTTGGCATACGTGTTTTACCCTTTATAGAATTTTAGCGGATACTCTATATCATAAACCATATCTTGAAAGAAAAAAAACATTTAAGATTTCTTTCTAAATGATTAACTTCTAAAAAATTGGATTTTTCAACATTCGTAGAAAACATCCTTCTTATTTATGCTTTTATCATAGTTTTTATCAATGCATCATGTTTGCAAAAAATTTACGACCCTAGATTTAATATATAGTTTAAAAACTTATATCATACCAACAAATTTTTTTTTTTGAAAAAGAAAAAAAAAATTCTTTCATACATGTTATAGAAGACAC